GGGGGGGGTAGGCCCCTATTGATGGAAATTATAGCCGGTTGATCTTCTTTTCAACCACGTTCAAAGGAGTATATCCACCGACAACAGGCTATAGGGAATCAATAAATATTTACGATCTGACTGGCTGGCTTTACCACAGCCTGTGTTGACAAACTATGATTCACAATGGGCCTATTCATTCAACGTAGCCTGAATGCAAATACATGCATACTTGAATTTTTGCTTGTTTGACAATGCAGGCCTACACTAGCTGATATTAGCCTATAGCTTCCTCTTTCTTGTGATTCCGTTTCGCCGAGAAATCTAAACATGTGCATACATGTTATTTTAAACAACAGCTTTATTCTATTAAGGCCTATGTCCACACCCTTTGGCTCTGTTGAATATGAATTTGCAAAAGATAAGACCCCCACCCCACCTCCCCATAAAAAGCTGTATAACTACATGAATAAGCAAAAACAATATTTTGCATCATAACATCAAACTTAATTTAGGTTAAAGAAAATAATATGTGTAATACAATTTCAATTAATAATGATCAAAGCAAAACGAGATAAATGAAGCAAAAATTTACGAGAACAAAACAAAGCGAGAATTACATTGCAAACCAGAAAATGTAGATCTAATGGCGGCACATGGCCGCTTTAGAGGTTAATGAGATCGCCTCTCATTCAAAGGTCCCGGGTTCGAATCCGGGTCGCGACGGAAAAACACTTTCTTCTCTAAAATTGTATCCTTTCACCTCATTCCTGTTCTGTAGCAATATGCTGTCGTCTGCTTTCATCTCCACTTTCTGCCCCCACCCCCTAATCTCCTCCCCTCCTCTGGGCTCTTGACTCTTTCTACTGCTTCCCCTAGGCTTGACTCCTTCTACTGCTGTCTTTCAGCCGCGCCCCTGATCTAATGGTAGGAAAGATCTACACCAAGCCTTCTAGGACATGGGCGAAAAATCTCGGAGGTCCCACGTGTAAGTTGCGCACATTAAAGATCCCTAATTGGTGGTCCAAAATCGATAAGAGTAGGCTTTGGCCGCCACCCAGGCAAAATTCAAAATTTCCTACCAACTGAAAATTGAAAATGTTAGGTCTGTCCCGCGCGCTCATACTCATATTATATTAAGACATACATGTACTATAATATTATGCAGTCGCGAGCGCCGTAAAACACTTCCCAAAAAAATTAAAAAAATGTAATAAAACGAACCGAGAACAAACAAGTTGTAATTATGCACGCTTGCGTAGTTTATTTAAACTCACGTCACCACGAAAGTAATACATGTAGATCTATATAATATATACATGGTTTAATTGATTTTGGTGCATACGGTATTATTAGCCCACAGCTAGGATACATGTACATGTAAAAGAATTTCCAGGGAACCATATGCAGGGCCTAAATTAAAAGAAGTTATTCGAGTCAGCAGCCAAGGTGTCTCGCTTTGAAATAATACACTCACTACCTCGCACCCATTAAAAAAAGAGTACAAGCTGGCCTAGTTTTATTTAGTTTTACACGACTAATAAAATAATTAGGCCTACCTAAGCAACAATAACCTTTTTTTAAAAGTTGACCCGAGGGTCGATTTGTAACTGACAACTCATAGCTATATCCGTCCGCTCCACAGAATTCTACACTTTTTCTAGGTCAATTGTTCTGACCCGGAAAGTCACATGGTTGTCACATGAACATCCGTACACTTCAGTCGCGAGATTCTAGGCTGTCTGGTGTACTTTCACTTTAAGAGCAGCGTCGACGCTGGACGAAGGTCTCCGCCTACTTCATACTAAGTACACTCACCATGGAGCAGTTGTTTGCGTAAGAATTAACTTATTTTACTTTCTTTTTTGTGTATTTTTGGTTTTGCTTAGGTGGTTATAGATCTAGATCTTTTTTTTTTATTGGTTTCAATCGAAAGATTGGTGAAGTTTGTTTTTCATTTCGAAGTGGCTAGCCGTACTTAAGTACGGTTAGCCGGATAGTCTAGCGTATAGACTGCCAGTCTAGCCGTACTTAGATCTAGGTTTGGCCCTATCGACTCAAACCAGTTAAATACACAGGTCTCATTAGATCTAGCTCTAGTAATTATTCAGGTTCAAATACAAGCAAGTCAGTAATGCACCTTTTGGTTTTGTCTGAAATACAAATACTTTAGGCATTGCAAACTAAAAAGTTCATTTACAATTCAGCCATCAAATATATTAAGTACGGCTAGCCTGACAGTTTAGTCGTCCATAAGTACGGCTAGCCTGGCTGTCTACCCGTACTTAAGTACGGCTAGCCAAGAAGTCTAGCCGTCTTATCTTAGAAGGCCCTATTAACATTAGAAAACAGGAGGTTTAAAATACATGCACTGTCATTAAGGCACCTGGTTTTGTCTCAAATACAAATACTTTAGATACTGCAAACTAAAAATTTATATTTACAATTCAGTAGGCCTATTTTCTTTTTATGGTTAGTCTAGCCATCATATTAAGAATAAGTACGGCTAGACTGGCAGTCTATGACATGAGTATGTGTTTGACATATGTGTGTATGTGACTTCTGTTTAGGAACAGTGTTACCTTAAGAAAGATTGTCGATGCAATGACTTTGACTTTGAGCAATGAATGTTTTTGATGCCTTTAACCAGACGCATTGATGAGAAACAAGGTCTGTTTGTGGAGCGACTCCGGGAGGCTGTCGCAATCCAGAGTGTGTCAGCATGGCCAGAAAAGCGGCCAGAGATTAAGCGCATGATAGAGTGGGCGGGGAAGGTATGTAGAAACATGATTAAATTTTGCCTTTATAAATTTGAATTATAATAACACTAGATTTCTGTCTACAGATGTAAGGATATAATATGATCTCTGAATAGAAAAACATCTCTTTGAATGTCTCAGTTACTCAATTATGTTTGAAAGATATTGTGCCGGCATTCAGTCCAAATGGATCCACATGTGGAATATATATGCCATGTAAAAGTCTGAAAAAATACCAGCCTGGTTATTAACTAGACTTATATCTTTGTGAAATATGGCCAGAGTCTGTGATGTAATGATTGGGGTCTTTGCTATTGGTGCTGAAAACATGAGTTAAGCTTCCTGAGGGAGGAAGCCGTATTTTATTGAGTCTTTCTCACTGTTTTTCTGATTTGATGCCATACATCCCACTCGGCTAAGGGTATCTCGGAGAGACAGGTTTGAAACAGCTTGCCTCTTAGATGACTTAAATGGTGTCTTAAAAGTGTAAAACATTGATTTAACAGTTTTTGATTAAAAAAGAAAAAAAATTGATGCAGGTGACATTTGTCTGCGACCGCTAAAAACAAAATACATTCAACATTGTGTCTCTGTTTCTGCATGATGTCTAGATGGTCGAGAAACTGGGGGGCTCGGTGGAGTACGCCGACATTGGTGAGCAGACTTTGGCTGATGGGAGCAAGATCCCTTTGCCTCCCGTTCTGCTGGGAATGCTGGGTTCGGATCCTAAAAAGAAGACCCTGCTGGTGTATGGCCATCTGGATGTCCAGCCTGCAGAGAAGGTGAGCTGTGTTTTGCTGTGACAATTTCTGCTTTGGTTTACATCTCTGAGTTCTTAGAACAATGAATTTCTCTATTAACTGTATTATGTTCTGTGTAAAATTCAACAGATAATTTATTCAGTCAAAATTAATTTAGTTTCTCCGAAAATTGTACACACTCTGTTTTGGCAAAATTAGATAGTTTATCATTTTCATCCAATTTGTTTACCAACAGTATCTTTTGAGTTGAAAGACATTTTTCAGCTGGTCTGTTCAAACCTTGTAGAAAGAAGATCTGGATTTTGGAAGAGAAAGCATAAAAAGCAAATTTTGTTATGGTTAAATGGAGAGAGGAAAGAACTATTATTTTTCTGACTTTTAAAAAAATGTGTTAATGTTTGAGTTAGAGGCTTCAGCTTCTTTCCCAATTAAGGTGGTCATTTTAACCTTGTGTTCTCAGGCTCTTGAAACTTTGTAGTAAGTTTCTTAAAAACAACAATACTTTTCCTAAAGCAGAACACACTCTCTATATAGGCTTATCTGGGAGTTGAACCCTGGTTTTAATTTTATCAGTCTGATGTCAAGATGACCTTCAGGCACTCTACGAGGCACTCCTTTAGAAAAGAGAAAGCCTTGAATTTGGATACTTTAAAGTTTGCGTTGTGAGTGAAATAATGAGGTAAAGTCGATATCTGTTGTGAAAGGACTGTATTTGTCAAGAGCCTCTTTGAAGAATTGAGAATTTTAGCCAGTTGTTTAGATATCTATTCTTATTTCAAATGTAGAACGAGAATATTCATAATAATAATTCTTTTCTACGTGTCAATTTATTGGCATGCTTAAATGTTTTGCCCCCTCACCCCCACATGGGTGGTTGGCAGGTGCTCTGGTGTGGTTTGCTTCTTCTTTCCTATCAAACGTCTATCGTTTTTGTATCCCCTCCTTCTTTTTTGTGTTTGTCACTCTCTTTTAACACCTCTAATCTTCGGCACTTATATGATCTTAGTGTGTTGCAAGTGCCGTAAAACACTTACTAACACCTCCCCCCCCCCTACCCTTTTTTCTTCTTTGTTATATTGACTTTCATTTGTGGAAGATTTTTTTAGCTGCCTTTCTAAAGTCTTTTTCACCCATACTTTTCAGGAAGAAAAGGCTGTGAGATCTGTGCAGGTCAAATAATATGTTTTCTTTTTTTTCATTTTTAAAGTCTTACTTTTTTGTTTGCTTGGTTTTTTGTTGTAGTCTGATGGCTGGGACACAGAACCGTTTGAGCTTGTTGACGTTGATGGCAAGCTGTATGGACGGGGCTCAACAGATGATAAGGTGAGCAGAGCTGCTGTGTTGTCTAACATGTTTGTTGTTATGAGCTTGGTGTCAAATGTTTGGCCGGGTGGTTCGTAACTTTCCCTCTGTTGTTTCTGTCTGTCTGTCTGTCTGTCTGTCTGTCTGTCTGTCTGTCTGTCTGTCTGTCTCTTAGTCCATCTTGTACAATATCTTTCTCTCTTTTGCTCTATTTACTCTCCCTTATAAAGACAGTGGCACATTGGAATCAAAACTCAAAAATTTATACAGTTTGGTACAGACGACCAGAACATGGAAACTTCAAAATCACAATCACTGATAGCTCATACGATTTGCCATTCCCCTACTGATATCTCTTTAATTTTTCAGTATTATTCTACCTGAATTATGGATGTGTTGGACACATTTATGAATCCCTGATATATTTGACTTATCTGTCTGTGTCTGACTATAAAATGGTTGAAAACGTGATGACATATAACCTATTTTACAAAACCAAGTTCTTTGTTAAGAAGTCTGGAATCTTCCTCAGGGTCCAGTCCTGGGCTGGCTGAACTGTATCGAAGCCATGCAAGAACTTGACATGGACATTCCTGTCAATCTGAAGGTAAAGGAAATAACTTAGCACTCAATGTCAGCTAATGAGAATAATAGATAGATGCGCCCCCCCCCCCCCCCCCCCCCCCCCGCATATCTTGTGCTTTTGTTTATGTCACAGTGATGTCAATTGGGAAGGGGCTGTAAAGACTGCTTATTTTGAAGGAAAATGAAGGATGGAATGACTCTTTCTTTTCTTATTTAGGCTGTACTTTCATGATTTCATAGATTTTTTAGAATGTTTTTAAAAAAATTTCTTGTCTAGCCTGCCATACTTTTGAATTCTATAATTAGTCATTGCTTAAGGTTTTTTGCTCTGTTCAGATTTACTAAGACTGCACCTTGTGCTATCGTTGATTCTTATTTGGCAAACTTGTTATAGACATTTTTCTGTCTCCAACTGTAACTGTGTCAATATAAAAGGAGAAACTTTCTCTTTACTTTGGGTAGATAGATCTCTATTGAATTTGGCCCCTTTTCATTTAGAACTTTGTTATTTAAGGTCTATGTCTTTTTTTGGTCTGACTCTTGAAATTTTTGTTGGAGCAATGTAACTTTCCATCTTTAAATGCACTAGAAACATGCTATTGCCTGTTGAAGTTTTATTCAAGAATATGCCATTGATGAAAATGAATGCAGAACTTTAGGTAGAACTATCTAATGGGCAAAAACTGGGCCAAGCTGACTTGATATGACCTCCCAATTTCCCAGTTTTATCAGATAAAGAAGCGTGTATATGTTTTTGGGGTTGTTGGGGTTTTTTTTTGCACAATCGTCAAGCTTACTGAAACAACTGTATGCTGGCATGTCAAGCATTCTGTATTATACCCTCCACCACCTAGGCTTCTGATCTTTCTTTCCCTTTTCTGCTTCTCCTTTTCTTGTTTTCCATTGAGATGCAAACACTTGCCCGCGTGCCTTTAGCAGGACCACCTAGAGCTTAAGACTTAGACCATCATGTAATGAATTTCTTTCAACCACTTCTACAGTCATTACTAATTGACAACTGTTTTGCTGTCACTTCTTTGGAATGCATCAACTAAATGAAAAGTATAAATCGCAAAAAAAATAAATTCCACTTAATTGATCCCCTTGAAAAATTTCTTTTTAAAATGTGTACATAAATACACAAATACATTAATACATAAATAGCGCACATACAACTGCACAAACATAGATAGTGAGTATTTGGTGGGTGCTCTGGTGTGTTTTACTTCTTCTTTCCTATCAAACATCTATTGTCTTTATCTCCCCTCTTTCTTTTTTGTGTTTGTTACTCTCATGTAACACCTCTAGTCTTCGGCACTTATGTGACCTTATTGTGTTGCAAGTACCGTAAAACACATACTAAAACAAACATAGAGAATCCACACTTCATTGCTGGTCGCCACTGTGCAGTGCCCATTTTTGAACTAGGCTATCATACATATGTTGCTCAAGGACAAATCTCAGTGACCACCCCATTGTACGCTGTGTCACCGACACATGCCTGACTTGCTTTTAGTTAGCACTGCTGTGAACCAAACTAAAGAGTAAATGCTCACATTTTTATAAAGTGGAATTAAAAAGCAATTGCTCAGGTCTGGAGTATTTTATTAAGATACAAAGCAATTGAACCCTACACGCTTATAAATTCTTATGCTCAAAATCATAAAAATCCACACACAGTACATACAGTCACATTCACACCCACTCACACACACACCTACACACTCACACATACACACACATATAACACTAACCCCCCCCCCCCCCCCCCCCCCCCCAACTCCCTTGACAGAGACTTTTGCCTTGTCGTTCACTGTTATCTACATAGCTGCTGATAGTAGGCTAAGCTCACACACACATACACACACACATGAACACACAAACACACAGGTGCACACCCACACTCTCTCACACACACTCACACTCTCTCTCTCTCTCCCCCCCTCTCTTTCTTTCTTTCTTTCTTTCTCTCTCTCTCTCACACTCTCTCGCACTCTCTCACTCACACACGTACACAGATGTGACACTGATAATATATCTATAAATGACCTTCTCTCCAGTGTAAAATTTGATAATGAAGTGATTTCTCTTGTGATAGACAGGCATCTGTGGTGGAGGGCATACACTCATAGGCTAGCATGCGAAAGATATGTGTTCAGCTCCCAGCAGGGAAAAGATATATTTTACTGAATTTCTGCATGTTTCTGGTGGGGTATATCCAAGTTTTCAAGACAATAAAGATTTTCCAGATAGGCAGAGTTGAAGAAGTCGTCTCTTAAATGACGTTTTTTACATTGTCAATTTTGTTGTAAAATATTTACAAAACACACTTATTACATAATAAATTTAATTGTGGTGAAAAATATTTGACAGAATATGTGAGAAGTTGGGGGTGCCGTGATTAACAAGTCGTAGTTTTTTAAAACGTTCCCTCTTTTATTAATGACCATTAGCGTTTTAAGGATGTCACTTTTTAGATTGTAAACCACATACATAGAGCTTGCTGTGGGCAGAGGGATGCGGTATACAAATGCTATTTATTATTTTTTAAGGTAGATTCTGCCTCTTAGTCTTTACTATCACTCTTTTGCTCTCTCTCTCTCTCTTTCTCTCTCTCTCTGTCTGTCTCTCTCTCTGTCTCTCTTTGTCTCTCTCTCTCTCACTTTCTCTCGCAATGGGAGGTTGGAGAGTGCTACTGGTAGTTCTACATCTTTGCTATCCTTCTGTTGTCGCTGTTTTACCATTTCCCAGTACAGCTGAATTTGTCTGAGATGGCTATTCATTGTTGAGGAGAAACATTGTTGCCTTAGACAGGTGGATGTCTTACACAGTGTTAGTTATTGAGAGTTGGCCATTTGTATAGGTGATTGTCTTACACTTACACATAGTTGGCTGTTAAAATAGGTACTATACAGGACAGTACTGTACAGTCATTATTATGTCAGTGTGCTTCTCTTTAACGTTAACTCCATGATACAATTGAGATTGTCTATCATGTGGATGATAATACTGAGATAGTCACCTATCTCTGGTTTTTGTGCTCAGTGATCTTAGGGCCACTTATCACCTGATATCTAAAATAATATGAAATATGACACATGGTTAAGCAATATTGCCACATCATTTCTTATCTGTTACCTTGGAACGTGAATTTGAACGTGTCAACTAATAATCTTTTTTATGAGTTAAGCACTCACTGATTTCACTTTGATTTCAGTTAGACCTCTGGATTTTTCAATGTCTTGTTTTATGGTTTTGATACCAGGAGGACAACACACTGAGAAGAAATGAAAAAAGAGGAGGAGGACCAGAGAGAAGAATAGACTGAAAAAGGAGGAGGAGCAGGAGAAGGAGGAGAAGAAAGAGGAGAAAAAAGTTGGTTGTCACCATTTCTGCTGACATCTTATACAATGGCATCAATAATCAAATTCTTGACATCATCAATGCACAGACCCATGGTCTGTCCTTTTTTCTTCTCTGAGTGGTTGATGGGTGCTCTGGGATGGGTTGCTCCTTATTTCTTTTCCAACACTTTCCGCCTTTAATCTTTCCTCCTCCTTCTCTTTGTATATTATTCCAAGAATCGGCCCTAATCTTCGGCACAATTGCGTTGCAAGTGCTGTAAAACTCTATCTGAAACAAAAACTAAGCTCATTTTTAAAATATCAGTCTCCAGGATATCCTTGGGTCTTTTTCTGCTTTTTTGTCATATGGAGTGAAACAGAGAGCAACTCCTAGCATGCTGTTGCGAGCGCCGTAAAACCGTCTACTATGAAAAAACAAAAAAAACTCTTAGCAAACAGGAGTGAAAAATAAAATTACACTTATATTAAATGTAGCAGTGGACAACAGTGGCATGACAGTAAATAGAAATTATGTCACCTCCATCTCTATCTCTTTATCTTCAGGAAGGTCAAGTTAATGAAGGTCTTCCTTACTGATAACTTCGGGGGGGTATCTAAATTTCTAAAAAACTAATTTAAAATCTTGCAAGGGACTACTTGGTAGATTCTTTCTAAATACAGTAGAACCTATTCTAACAGCTGCTTGAACAAGAAAATCACCTGTACAAACAACCTGTTCCCATATCCCGCCCTTGCTTTTTAAAAATATAATGACACTGTCCAAGACATCCATCTGTCTGAGACATCTACTTTTCACCTCGACAATGGGTGGCGTTCTTGGACAGTTTTGACTGCATCTTAATAATGTGAACACATAGGAAAATGGCTTGATTTTTATCTAATTTCGCATACTTGATTTAGTTGTTTTTATGCCAACAAGTAATTTATAATCAAAGTACCCGAACCCCTAAACTTTGATAGTCGTGTGCAGTTTGAATTTTTTTTTTTTCAGTGTATGAATCTTAAGCCATATTTGCAGCACCTGGAGTTTTCTTTACACATAAAGCTTTTGATGTGCACTGGAGGCCTACATTTAAAAGAAGACATTTTGTCTGCTTTTTCCCCCCTTCATAATGTATAACTTGTTGTCGGTTTCAGTTTGTCTTTGAAGGTATGGAGGAGTCAGGCTCTGAGGGTTTAGACGAGCTCATTGAGCAGCGAAAGACAGACTTCTTACAGGTATGTATTTGATTGATTAATGGGAGGGGGGGGGGGGGTGGAGTTGTTTGTAGGCCTCCACATTATATTTGTTCTGCAAGGGCATAGAATAATTTCAAGAGTCATTATAAATAATTTAGATATATTATACTCAAGTAATTGCTCATCATCACAACTCAGGATTTTATTTATTTTGATCTGTCATAGAAAGAGAGACATTGAGAAAGAGACGGAGAAAGAAAGAGAGAAGGGAGGAGGACAGTGAAAGGAAAAGAGACAGAGATAGATAGTGACAAATAAACGTTCAGAAAAAGATAAAACTATGCTGACAGACAGAATATCATTGTGCTTGGTTTGACCTCTCTTGTGCCCCCTTCCCCTCCCCACTCTACCCCGACTTGATGGTTAGGGTGTGGACTTTGTGTGCATCTCAGACAACTACTGGCTCGGGACGAACAAGCCGTGCATTACATACGGATTACGGTGAGTCACTTGTGAGTGGAAACAGCTTGATGATGTTCTGCTGTTGTTGGCTTGTGGGAATCTAAGATGCTTTGTGGTTATTTAAAAAGTGGTACCTTCTCCCTACATGGGACAAACAATCTCTCCAGAAGAGACAAAGTCATTTTTACTCGATTAAGCATCGGACACACGGCCCTAACACATAAATACCTCCTTCAGGGAGATGAGAAGCCGTTTTGTGTCGGATGCGACACAGATTTTACCATACATTTTAACTGAATGTCTAGACTTCGGAGAGACCCGAAGGAAATATTTTAGATGCAAAAAATAGCAAAATCCATTTTCTGTCGTTGCTCCCAACAGAATTCTATATTTTTTTAAGGCCATTGGCCTTTATGGGAAGTAGTAAATGAAATAAAATTGTTAAAAAATTGTATGTTATTTTTAAAAGTTATTTTAAATGAAAAATGTATTTACACATTTTAATATTTTAGCATTTTAGTGAACGTGTTGACCCAAACTGGAGTGTGAAATGTGCTGTTGCGAACAGAACCAACTTTTTTGGCGCGCTCATTTGACCTTATGCAGTTGCAAGCGCCGTTAAACTCTTACTAAAACAAAGAAACATAATGCATATGTACCAACAGTTTTTTTAACTTTTTTCCTAGAGCATTTTAAAATGTTGTGAAAGTTGTCTTGTTTGGAATCAGGGCCATCTGATCTATTAACTTTATAATAAGCTGCAAGGCAAAGAAGCGCTCTGCGGCCCTTTTTTCACTCTTGTTTTTTAAATTTCATGTTTATATTCACTGTGTTTGTTCTGACTGTTACTATGATATATGTTAGCAAGGAGTGAATGAATACGTAAGTGAAAAAGGGAAAAATAGCGGTACTAAGAGAGGGGGGTAGGGGGAATGTGGGATTATTATGATTTGTTGATATCATATGTGTTACAGAAGCTGGTGAAAACAGTTTAGGATCAATAAAGTATTATATCTTCTCTATCTTATCTTAAAATGTATCTCTATATTATTTATTTATTAAAATTAATATGCAGTTTATACTGATTAGAATATGACCCATGAAATAAACAGACTAGCATGGGGTCTCAGGGCAACGAACCAGTGTGCTAATACTAATGCACTAAGACAATCCTGGGAAAATGATATGAAATTAATGTTCCTAAATCTTAAATCAATTTTTCCAATCAAACATCTATGATCCTTGTCAGTCTTTCCTCTTTCTTTTCTTCATATATTTCATATGTTGCCCTCTAGTTCTTGGCCACTTATGTGACTTTATTGTGTTTCTAGTGCCTTAAAACTAAGTTAAAACATACTAAAATGAGTCTATAGGGGCATAACAGCTCAATCATTTTTAACAAGTCTCTTCTCATCTTTCATTTTCCCACAGAGGAATCTGCTACTTCTTCATGGAGGTGGAATGCGCCAGCAAAGACCTCCACTCTGGAATCTTTGGAGGAACTGTGTAAGTGCAAGTGAGGGCATTATTCTACAGGATGGTGTGCGTGCCTCTTGAACAGTATATCAACATGCTAGGATAAAGGCCAAGGCCAGACTTAAGCCTAAGAAACCTGCCATTGCAGTCTTTATATCGACTGCTCGGTGTAAGACTCTATCGTACTTCACTTTTCAAAATAGCATATTATGGAGTCAATATGTTGGCCCACCCAAACAACATTATGAAAAGTGAAGCATGCTGACAAAATGAATTACTTCTCGTAATCAAAGAATGGAGAAATCATCCAAAAATTGAAACAAGGATCGTATTCGTAGATTCTAAACCAAAGCCGTTCTCTTCAAGGTCTACATGTCTTTTATAATTTAATACTATTGAATTGTAAACACTCAAACTATAAATTTGAGGCATCTATTTCCATTGGGCTAAAATAGGAGAAGTAACTCATTTTGTCAGCATGCCTGATAAATGTTGGAAGTGCTCAAAGACAGTGAGATATGTTCCAATTGTATGTGCTAGTTTTGTTTGTTTGTCTACACTCACTGTTTTTGTAGTTTGAGTGAACTTCGCATAAGTCATACTCTGTACTTTCTGTCAGCCTCACCTTTTCCCACCTGTGTTGCTATTATTCACATTAATATGTTTCTCATTAAAACCCATGCTATCCTCCAGACCCTGACCCACCCAACCTCCCCCACCATCTTCAAAATCACCATCCCTAGGTCATATATATCTTATTATCATTCCTTTCAACAAACCATCTCTCTGTCCTCGAGTTGGTGGTTAGAAGGCGCCACTGGTAGGTCCTACTTATTTTCTTTACCCTCTGTTGTTTCTGTCTGTCTATCTTTCTTTTTCTTGGCACCAAATGACCATCATTGTCTGGATGTCCTTTCCTTTTTCTCAAACAAACAAAACAAACTCTGCACCAGATTCGAAGCGATGACCGACCTAATTCGCCTCATGTCTTCCCTGGTGGGTCAAGACGGCCGCATTCTTGTGCCAGGCGTCTACGACTCTGTGCAAGAACTGACTGATGAGGAGAAGGCCACTTACGACCCCATTGACTTTGACATGGTAAGTCGTGCTAGAATATCTTGTCTGATACCTTTGTTTTTTGTTTTATACTAAGTTTAATTCTATCAGTCTTCTATTTACTTTAGACGAACTAACATCATGCATCTCGGACCTGGGCAATACAGCCCCGGGTCCAGATGACATCCACTACCAGATCATTAGACTTTTACCCGCAGAAACACTTACACTACACTCCAACTAGGCATATACAATGACATGTGGCGTTCACACTCCTTTCCAGAGTCTTGGCGTTTCACCACTGTCATTCCAATACCCAAACCTAACAAAGACCACTCACATTCATCCAATTACAGACCAATTGCACTAACGAGCTGTCTGTGCAAACTTATATAAAAAATGATTCTCAGGCGACTCATGTGGTTTCTAGAGATGATGGGCTCGCTGAGCTGTCTCCAGTGCGGATTCAGGAAAACTTGATCCACTCTGGATCACCTGGTCCGCCTGGAGACCTTTATACCCGAGACGTTTGCTGAAGGAGGCCACATGATCACCTTCTTTTTTAATGTAGAAAAAGCCTTCGCACACACGTCCCCGACACACAAATACCTCCTTCAGGGAGAAGAGAAGCCATTTTGTAGTATCAGATGTGACACAGATTTTACCATTAGACACATTTTAGCAGAATGTCAAGACTTCGGAGAGACCCGAAGGAAATATTCAAAATTTTAGATACAAAAAATTGCAAGACTTTTTTTCTGTCGTTGATCCCAACAGAATCCTTGATTTTATAAGGCCATTGGCCTTTACGGAAAATTGTGAATAACATTGTTTAAAATTTGTTATGTTATTTGAAAAGTTATTTTAAAGTAAAAATTTATTTACATCAAATTTTTAGTATTTTAGCATTTTAGTAGAGATGTTTTAGTTTTAGTATGGGGTTTTATGGCGCTCGCAACTGCCAAAGGTCATATGAGCGCACGAATCAAGTTGGATTTTTCTGAACGGTTCATTTTACAGTTGTAGAGGTGTTGACCAGAATCAGGCTGTGTAGTGAACTCTTGCGAATGTAACCAATTTTTTTTGTGCGGTCACATATGACCGTATGCAGTTGCAAGCGCCGTAAAACACTTACTAAATGAAACATATTTCTTTAACCTTTACTATTACTATAAATTACATGCGACACGACGTGATGGAATCAGGTACTCATCAGTTTAGAGTTGTATGGAGTTATTGGTATAGTATTATCTTAACCCCTTCAATGCCGCAGGTAAATTGGCCTCTCTGCCGGGGGGAAGTCCCATGAACGAAGGCTGCTCAGGGGTGACCCCACTCTACATCCCACATTTTTTAAATTTATGAATATGAATATTTCCTCGTGAATTTCATCATGTACATTCTACATTGAACCGCATTTCTATTGATATAATTTTGGGGGAATTTCATTGAGAGATAGATGGAGAAGAGTTGGAGTTGTAACATGATGCCAAAAACAACACACATTCGAGTAATGACAAACCTAGACTAAAAAAAAGGGAATACATGTGTGAGTGTTTGCTAGTAAAGAAGAAGTGACAAGAGGCTTTTCCTACCATTATACAACGCTCGTATAATCCATCTATCTACATGCAAGCCCATCTGTGTTTACTGCCAGTAAATCATTTTTGTGTGATAGATGTGTTACTTACTTACTTACTTACTACCCGTTACGCCATCTGGCGTTTAGGGCAGCAACTAAGGATCTCCAGCTCTGTCTGTTTGGGGCCATCTTGGTCAACGTCCTCCATGAATGGTTCCAGGACTTCATTTCAGACTCTACTGTGTGTCTCCAGGTCATTTTGGGTCTGCCCCTCTTGCGATGTCCTTCGGGTGTCCAGTGGAGGGCAGTCTTTACAATAGAGTCTGGTTCTCTTCTCAGAACATGCCCAATCCGTCTCCATCTTCTCCTTGTTATTATGGTGGTCATGTCCTCTTGCCTACATTTCCGTAAAAGATCTGCGTTGGAAATCTTGTCGGGTCAAAAGATTAGGAGGATTTGGCATAAGCTGGTTGTATGAAAAGAAGATAGCTTGGCACGATCATGATCAGTCCTCCTCCAGCATTCAGATTCATGTAGATGTGTCAGATCTAGATCTAATCTTCTCTTCGAGCTAAAATCTGAATCTGACGCTTTCAAATGGGGGAGAGGTAATGGAGGTAAACATAAAGGGAAGGTACCCCAAAAATAATGACAAGATTTTAGCAGTAACTTCCCTTACAATTGGTATCAAAACAACCCCTGTCACAGTCCCGTAAATTCTACGGGCCATAGACACAGCGCTACACAGTTCAGGCCCGTAAATTCTATGGGCGCAACTGCGAAGAGGTTAATCCTTATTCATTGTCTTGCTTTTGATGAACAAAAAGACCTATCTTGAATAGAAGTCAGAGATTTGCAATTGAAAGAGGTGGGAGTCTCCTGGTGTCAGAAGAAAAATTAGTGGAAAACTAGCCGCCAAAGTTTGATGACTTTCAAATCTTCAGAGACCTTGGAAACTGCAAATTTATACTTTTTGTGCTTTTGATCTATGTTCTTCGGTAAAATCAACACAGGAATGCGTTTTTAGATAGATATTAAAAGTGTTGATTAAAAAAATGTAACTGACTGTGGAAAAAAAAAGATAAAAATTTTGCCCAGCAGACAGGAACATGTCTGTGTCTCTGTTTTGATTTTTTGGACAAGTGCCTGATTTTACTACGTTGCCACACATATTGCTTGAACATACTCTTTAACCTACCCTTTTCCTTGCCTGCCCTGTCAGAATGAGTACCAGCAAGACATTGCTGCCAAGAGACTGCTCAAGGAAAACAAGCCAGAGCTTCTTATGGCAAGGTGGCGCTACCCGTCCCTCTCCCTTCATGGTAGGCTTATAACGTGGCCCTAACATAGCTATTTTTTCTTTGCAAGATTATAGATTACTTTTTTGTATGCTGAGGTTTTTCCTTTTTTTCTGAGCTGTTTTTTTAGTTTATATTCATAGTTTTAATTTCTTTTTTTTTTTTAATGGTCCTTTTGTCGTTTTTTGGTGAGTCAAAACAGTAATGATTATATCTTGCTTGGAGGGCTACTAGGACGAATAAATAATGTTTTGAAAGAGAAGTATACAGCTGATAAGAACTGTCCCTCTATTGTTCCTGTCAGGCTTGCTTTTTCTTTCAGTGCTAATGGCCATCGACGTGTTGATACTCGTAGTTAGAAGATGGTTCTTTTTACTAGAAACTGAGGTGTGGAAGGCACCACTGTGTGGTCCTTCTGTTGTTTCTTTCTGTATGTCATGCTTTTCCTCCTGCTCTAATTGGCTGTTAGACTGTTACTTTAGCGATGTGCTTTTTTTTTCACTTAATACTCAAGGTGTTGAGGGTGCCTTCAGTGGTGCAGGGGCCAAGACAGTCATCCCGAGGAAGGTCATTGGAAAGTTCTCTATGCGCCTGGTGCCCCACCAAGAGCCAGATGTCATCAAGAGACTGGTCGTGGACTACCTCAACGAGGTGCACGCTAAGTCAGGGAGCCCTAACTCTGTCTCGTGAGTTCATGTCAGGAGTTGGTTTTTTTTTTACTGGGCTTGTTGATCCAGCAGTGCAATGATTTTTGCTGTTCTGTGGGTGGTTGACGGGTGCTCTGGTGTGGTTTGTTCCTTCTTTCCTATCAAATATCATATGTTTTTATCTCCCCTCCTTCTTTTATTTGTAAGTTACTGTCAAGTAATATCTTTAATCTGTTCACCTGTGTATTATTGTTAGTCACTGTCTACTGCTTGAATTAGATGCTTTTTTGTTCGATAAAGCCAAGCTTTCAAATATGTCTAATTTGTCTTAATTTATGACATTGCCCGAGAACCATGTCAACACAGTGACTTGCATTGAATGCTGGATCATTTTTTTATCAATTCACTGAAGCACAGTGTTACATCCTGAGATCGAACCTGGGTGGTTGGCGGGTGCTCTGGTGTAGTTTGCTCTTTCATTCCTATCAAACATCTACCATCCTTATCTTTCCTCCTTCTTTTCTTTGTATGTTACTCTAATAACGCTTCTAATCTTCGACTCCTAATTGTGTTGCAAGTGCCATAAAACTCATACTAAAACTAACTTAGATCAAACTTAGATCGAAGGGCGTCGTCCGCAGCCATGAACTAAAGGGCTGCAGCATGGAGGAAATTGTGGCGAACTGCGAAGGTGTGATTGAAGCCCGCCGGATT